GCTGCTATATATTATTATAGAATAGGAGAGCGGCGTTAATTGCTAATTTCTTTAATCTCCCGCCTAACTAGGTAGGGTGGAGTAAGTCTGTTGTTTCTGCTAGTGCTCCTAATTGTCTTGCAAATAGTCTTTCTAGTACTTTCCCTAGGCAGCTTAAGAGTGAGATAACTCTATATGCCTTTAGGATAGAGTAGTCTAGCTTTCTAGGTTTCTTTAGAATAACTCCTTTAGCTTTTCTTTAGCACTTGAGTTAGTAGCCAAAATTAAATAGAGCTAAATATATCTTAAAGAGTAATTCTAGCTGTGCCTAATAGACTTTTTAGACTATATCCTGGCTAATTAAATCTAGTCCTAGCGAGGTAGCTTTTACGCTTACGCAGGCGAATTTGAGCTCTTCTTTTGTTAAAGCTGGCCACTCCCATCTACTATCTCCTTTGTAGGTATTTAGTAGTGGGGCTAGAGTAGATGGTGGTGGGGGGAAGAGATCTTCTCTAAAGGCTTGGCATTTTTCTCTAAAGGTCTCCTTGCCTTTAATAGCAGGTACCCTTATAGATAGGTTGTCTTTTGTGTAGGCTATAGCTTTAAATATCTCTTTTAGCGTCTCCTTTTGTAGGAAGGTTTCCTAGTAGTTAAGCTTAGCTTTTTTAATAGCTTTTAGATATCTATATTTTGCAATAAGATACTCTTTTTTTCACTAGTTGATTTAGCTGTTATCCTCTCTACTAGCTTCTCTTTTTAGGACTCAAAAAGCTCTGTTTTGATCCAACTTTAGGTTATCTAGCTCACTAGTCCACCAGGGTTTTGGCTTTAGTTTCTGGCTAACTAGTAGGGCGGATTCTTTTAGAGCTATTTGTACTACTATTGTAATATCTTCTCTTAGTTTCTCTAGTTTCTCTACTAGGGAGTTATCCTGACCTAATAGGATCTTTCTTAATAAATAGCTAGAGGTGTAGGGTAGGTCTAGTAGTTGTGCCTCTAGCTGTTAGTTGTTAACTTCTTCATTAAGTGTACTATTAAAGATGTCCTAGTTAGTTTTTTTAATATTAAATCTCTTTAGCTAGCTGGGTAGCTGGCCTAGGCTTTCAATACTAAAAAGGATTGCGTAGTGGTCTAATCCAACTCCTAGTATAGTTTGCTAGTCCTGGATTTTGGCAGCTATATTATTAGTTGCAAAAGTAAGATCTAGTACGCTTTCTTGCCGCATATTTACTTGAAAAAAGGTGCCAGTCCCTAGAGTATCTAGTAGAGAAAGGTTTTGGTTGTCTACCCACTTTACTAGATCCTCTGCTTCTTAGTTTAGGTTTTTATCCTGTAGGCTCTATCTAGGGTGGTGGGTGTTAAAGTCCCCTAGTATAATTGAGGAGGGTTCTAGAGTCTCTTCAAGTAGGCGCCTTTAGATTGTTGTCTTGTTAAGCCCTTCTTTTAGGCTTTTTATGTTATAAATGTTATATATATAGATCCTAGTTAAAGAGGAGAGTGTTGTAATAGCTTGTAAATCGTTGTCGTCGCTAATATATAGGTTAACCTCTGCATCTATGTCTTTTCTGATATAAAAGAGCGTTCTTAGCCTTAACCCCCTATAAGTAGGGAGTATTTAAGTAAAGTCTTGGTGGGCGATTGATCTAGTATTCTCGTAGGTATGTCCCTTTAGTAGCCAGGGTTCCTGTATAGCGATAATCTTGGCGTTTACTTGAATAGCTAGATTTAGAGCGCTCTCTGTAGCAGGGCTACTTCTATTAACATTTATTTGTAGGACTTTTAACATTCTAGTTAGAAGAGGTAGTAATCCTAGATGTCCTAGCTTGTAGGATTTTGCAGTTTTGGCTGTTAGCTGCGTAAGGCTTGCTACAATTTACACACTTAAAGATAGTGTGAACGTAAGGCTTGCCTCTGCTTAAACAAGAATTACACTTGTAGAGGCTAGTGTGGTGGGCTTCGCTGCAGATCTGGCAGGCTACTTTAGAGCATTTAGCCTCTAGGTGCCTAAAACCTTGGCATTTAGAGCACTGTTTAGAGTTATTAATAACTCTTAGTTTCTCTGCTCTAAGGCTCTGCCCTAGAATATAGAGCTTTCCTCTAATAGCTCTTTGGGCTTCTTGTTCTGTAGCAAAAGCTACGCAGGCGGATCTAAAGTATTGGTTTTCTCTTCTAGATTCTAGTGTTAACCAGAAGAGGCTGCCTACTACCTTTAGGCCTTTATTGAAGATTTCGATTTCCTCCTTTAGGACCTCTAAGCTATGGTTTGTTAGTAGTTTATGGATAACTACTTTGAACCAAGGGGTGACTGGTTGGGCTGCTTTGAACTCTATGATATCCTTCTAGATCTCTTGGTTTTCCAGAAGGTATTTTGCTAAAAAAGCTGGGGTAGTAGTAACTATTCTATTACCTTTTGCTAAAGGTGTTACTAAGGCTACTACTAGGTATTGTACCCCTCCCTTTGTTGTAAAGGCTTTGTTAAAGGCGTTTCTAATTTTTAGGGCGTCAAATATAGTAGGTATATCGCTAACTAGAACGATTTAGCGATCTAATAGGCTAGTAGTCTTTTTTTAGTTATCTTTTTAGGTTTTTTTTCAATATGTTTTTGGTTTTGTTTTTTTAGATATATGTTTAAGGCTGTTCTTAATTAATAGCCGCTACTATTGCGTAGGAGCTAGGGGGCTAAGCTTAAGGTTTAGTAGGTGGGGTATTTGGTTTTTCAAGGCGTCTAACTTTCTCTCTTAGTTCTTTAGAGACGTTAGATAGAGAGAAGATTTTGTCTCCTAGAATTGTAGAGTTTTTCTTGTTTACTCTACCGTTCTCTATAAAGTCTCTAAAGACTTCTACAAGGTCTAGTAAACTAGTTTGCCTAGTAGAGTTGTTCTTAGCTAGGTTAGCTGCTTGGATTACTAGGTTTCTAGCAATCTCTAAGGCCTCCTCAATAGAGGTTGCCTTTGGAGTTTTCCCTACTGTAGGGTATCTTGGCACTGCTCCAATAAATGGAGAAAAATTGCTTCTTGTCCTAGTATGGGTAGGCCTAGGCGGTTCTTCTGGTTGCCTGTTAGGGCACGGCGTAGGGGCCTCCTCAGCCATCTCGATTTCTGGATTATTATCCATTAGTCGTTTGCTTGTGCCTCTAAGGTCCTTTGAGGCTAGTCTTTTTTTGCT